GTAGGACTGTGTTTGTGAGATCTCATGTGTGCTAAAACTGTTTTTGTGAGGTCTCATGTGTGCTCGGACTGAGTTTGTGAGATCTCATGTGTGCTAGAACTGTGTTTGTGAGCTTTCATGTGTGCTCGGACTGTGTTTGTGGGCTTTCATGTGTGCTAGAATTGCGTTTATGAGCTTTCATGTGTGCTAGAACTGTGTTTGTGAGCTTTCATGTGTGCTCGGACTGTGTTTGTGAGCTTTCATGTATGCTAGAACTGTGTTTGTGAGCTTTTATGTGTGCTCAGACTGTGTGTGTGAGCTTTCATGTGTGCTAGAACTGTGTTTGTGAGTATTCATGTGTGCTCGGACTGTGTTTGTAAGCTCTCGTGTGTGCCAAGACTGTGTTTGTAAGCTCTCGTGTGTGCCAAGACTGTGTTTGTGAGCTCTCATGTGGTTCTGGGAGTGTGTTTGTGAGCTCTCATGTGTGCCAAAGTTTAAAGTTTAAAATAATAGAGTTCGTTTGTTCGCACTTGTTTAAAAGTTAAGACCATAACTATTGAATTTTTTTTGGTAGTGTTTCTACAGGAAAAAAACAAAACAAGATAAATTAGAAGGAGACAGATACACTAGGCCTAAATATTATACACAGTCTTGTTTTTTTTTTTTTTCAAGAGAGGAGAACATAAACTGGACAGTTATTATATAACTATTAGCAATAGCATGTCCGTTGGTGGTTTTGACCGCATAACCCACCAACCGGTCAATAAAATATAGGTCTAGCCACCTTTTACCCCATACTTGCCGTGAAAAAAAAGTTCCTTTTCCTTACTTCCTGACCATGTCGACTGAATGGCTTTTCCTTACTTCCTGACCATGTCGACTGAATGGCTTTTCCTTACTTCCTGACCATGTCGACTGAATGGCTTTTCCTTACTTCCTGACCATGTCGACTGAATGGCTTTTCCTTACTTCCTGACCATGTCGACTGAATGGCTTTTCCTTACTTCCTGACCATGTCGACTGAATGGCTTTTCCTTACTTCCTGACCATGTTGACTGAATGGCTTTTCCTTACTTCCTGACCATGTCGACTGAATGGCGCTCTTAGATGTGGCCAGTCAAGATTGATGTAAATAATCTTTCACTACGGAATAGAAAGAAGTAAACTTGATTGAACACAGTTTGAAGTTTAAACAACGGGCCAACATCATGGTACACCGGTAGTAACCTATAAGTGCTCCGTTCTTCTTCTAACTCAAGTCTGAGTCGGAAGAAGCTCAGCACAGTGCACAGACTCTGTAACACCAGCGGGGCTCGTGAAATACTTTGGGTAGATTTTTAACTCAAAATTTTGCCCTGGCAGCGCCCTTAGGCTACTCTTTTCGATTTCCAACTGCCTAAGGATTTTTTTTTTAAGCGCGCAACAATACACTCTGACGTCCGGTCTCACTGCCCAGAGATCAGGGTGAATTACTAGAAGTACTTGATTGAACAAAATGAAAGCTAAGTGATGGAGGGGAAACTTGGTGTGTATATGTGTGTGAGTGTATGTGTATGGGTGTGGGTGGGTGGGTGTGGAGGTGTGTGTGTGTGTTGGGGGGGGGGGGGGGCGGGAGGGACGAAGGAAGAAAAAAGAAAAATAATTAAATGGCTTGGTCACATGGCTTGGGCTTGGCGACAAGAACACAGATCTCATCTGTGATTCTGGCGATGGTGTCAGGACTGCCCATGTCGGAGGACACATCTTTGTGGGAATAACTTTTACTGGGAAACGGACTGAAGACTGCAGAAGGACAGGATGATAACGCAGTCTGCCATCTGCAGTGAACAAGATGACTTCTTGTGCGTGCGTCCTTATAACCGGGTTTGTCATGTTTGTTGTGATTTACAGTTAGGCCGCGACATCCAAGCTTTTCGGCACATATCAAATCCGATTTCATCAAACCCCAAATCATCGGATATCTTTTACGACATGCTTGTTAAAAAGCGTGGGGGAAAGGGTGTAGATGGCAGTTGATGTTTTTCTCCCTACCCCAGGTTGGGCCTGACACTCAGAGGGGGGAAATATTAAAGGAAATGGGGTAAGCTGGCAATAACGGTCAGGTTCCAAGTACACATCACGAATGCAAAAGGAACCCCGCGGCTTGAACACCTTCCCCAGGCTGCAGCAGCAAACGGACACTGAATGCCAATGCAACCGAATCAGCGCAAGAAATGAAAAATATTATTAGAAAACTAGTGTTGTGGCAAAAGGCCAGTTATCAATGCACTTAAAGCAAATGCAGCTGCCGTTTCTGTGGACATTCATCTTCTTTGATGAGGTTACAGACCTCATCATGGTCAACAGAAATATCAGAATAATTGGATCTTCAAATCCTATTTTGTTCTTCAGGAGTTCATGCATGGAGATAAAGGCAAGTTAATAGGCACTCAGCTGCAGGGGTATCAAATCTGGGTCTATGAAAGCCCACAACTGCACCTTTTGGACACCCTTGGACATGCGTGTTCGTTGGTGGACAATTGAAACCTGCTTATTTCGTCTTCAGCTTAGATAGCCGGGGATATATCAAGTATTGTATGAATGTCAGCTCTGTGGCTAAGTTGATGCGAACGCTTCGTAATGCCGGGATGCCGGGTTAGATCCCATCTGCGGGCCATGCGCCTTGCGTTGGTTTCGACAGTGGTATCAAGAAAGCCGACCGTCCAGCATTGGCAAACTACTGGACGTAAATTTGCCTAGAAAAATCACACACTGGGGTTGGTTCTGCAACGTCCTGTAAAGGATACGCAACTAACCTTTTTATTGTATGAATATTCGAAGGGGGACATATTTGCGAGAAGTGATCGTGTTCTGGAAAACGTCGTGTTCTTTAGCAGGGGTCTGTCTTGAACAGGACCAAAGGGAATGCTAAGCAATCTATACCTGGATGACTTGGCCACCTGGGTGAGCGAGACAAGAGCAGACATTATGCTCTAGTAGTTAAATATATGTAACTTAGATAGCTGTAGATATATACGTTGGTGTATCAAAGTAAATTTGTTGAAAAGGGGATGGGGGGAATACTGCTTGAATGATCATGTACAGGAAAAAACCTAAAGTTCTTTAGCACGGTTCATATTGAAAGAGACTCTTTCCCTTGGGGTTTCTGGGTCCCATTTGGAGGGGAAAGAGGGGAGGGGGGTTTCACCCACTCTCTTACAATCGTGCCGTAAAAGACTACTGGTTAATTGAGGATGTGCTGAAATAAATTGAGTTAGACTAGAAGGTTGTTGTAAGCCACAATACAGGCAGCCAGCTGCCTTTTTCTACGCCTCTAGGTGTAATTGACTAACGCTTTCTTCAGTATAGGGACACGGTTCTGACGTCATCAGCCTGAGTGACGTCCCCACCCTGGGCTAACCACACATTCCGTTTTCACTCTAAATAGTCCCCACTAAAATAATTCTACGAATAAGCTCTAGTTTATAGGCTTGTATAATCTTTGTTATCTCATCTTCTCAAAATGTATTAGCTACTTAATGAAAAGTAATAATAATACATTTTATAATTTGTTTAGAGGGGTGGTAATGGGGAGCGTGAAGGTGACCGGTGGGGGAGGGGGGAAGGGCAGAAACTGGCTTGCTTAAGGTGTCCCATTCCCATTTCCAGCTTAAAATATTGTGAAAACAAATAGAGAGAAAACAACATAGAAATAGACAGTACAACATAAACTACTTACATTTTAACTGGCGACTATCCAGTATGTATACACATAATTAACTGAAAATTAGTGAGTGAACTTAACCAGTATATTATGTTGTCCACCAAGTATATTGGCAATATTATCCTTGTCCACCCAGTATATTCGCAAATTTATACTTGTCCACCCAGTACATTCACAGAGTTTTTCATGTCATTCATATTGTTCTCACGTTTTCTTTACATGTCTCTTATCCAACGCCGGCGTCTTTTCTTCACCTCTTGATCCAGTGGAACTTGTTTAGTTCTCTTCCTAAGCGCAACATTAGTGATTCTGTCATACCATTTAATTCTCTATATTCTGCGCTGTCACCAGTTAATGCATATTTGTAGTTTATTTGTAATTCTTTTAGTTGTTCTGCATGTTTCCGCTGCATACAGCAGTACTGATTTGGCATTAGATTTAGTCATTGTAAGTTTAGAATTAATTTTAATTTCTTTTGACCTCCACAAATTTGCCGGTGCAGTGAAAGCTCTTTTTTCCTTATATAGTGTTATTTAAATATCTCTATCAGTTCCCCCATATAACTGGCCAAATAGGTGTATGCCTCTACGTCTTGGAGTGGGGTGCCATTAAGAGAAACGACATTACTATTTGCCTGATTTACTCTCAGTATCTTTTTTTTTCTTTGCAGATTTGTAGACTTAGTTATTATGATCGCTTATCAAGCATATTTAAGTTAGCACAGTCGATAGGAGGAGACTCGTTTTCAAATCCAGCTGCGACTCGCTGCAGCCCACGGTCGGTGTTCTAAACCGGACGGTTCCCGGGGTTCACCCAGCCTCTGTAAAATAGGTACCAGAGTTAACACTCTGGGGTAAAAGGAGGAACGTTGCTGTAGCTACGGAGTTTCGTGCGGACGTCAACACGGGCGGACAGTTTCTTATCAGCTGTCCCTACTGGTGACGAAGCACTTATGGTTTATAACTGCGTGCAATGACGCTGGTTCACATCTCCCGCCTTTAACTTTTTATCTAGCATATTTAGTTTATTGGAAAGGGGAAAAGGGGGGGGGGGGCGCTGCGTGGTCTAGAGGCATGGTGTCCCCCTCCAGTGCTAGAGGTTTCGGGTTTAATCCTCGGTGAGGGCTGACATTTTTTCACATGGACTTGGGCTTCTATTAATTCCCTCTGGTCTCTGGGTAGTGAGATCGGACGCCCGTGTGCATTTTTGCGCATGTAAAAAATCCCTAAACAGCTGGAAATCGAAAAGAGTAGTAACGGCACTGCCAAGGCAAAATTTGGACCAGAAAATCTACCCAAAAAGTATTTCAGGATCCTCA